CAAGATGAAAGACCCTGTTTTCGGTGTCGTGAGCATTAAGATGTACAATCTCATACAGCAAAGCCAACTCCGAACAGTTACAGATTCAGGAGGCTTGGTTACTTTTCTATGATAGTGTCTAGTTCAAAGTAAAACTTGCATATGCTGCAGTTTTGGAGTAGTAGTGTCTATGAGACAAGTAAATATAGACCTTTTGTTTCAGCACTTTGTAACTTTGTGGAATTTTTGGGCATTGTAAGGTTTGAAGCAGATACAAATATGAAAGGTGTGTGTATATATAGTTCTTTGATTATTGTAGAACATTGGCCAATCCTCACTGCTTGAGCTTCTCGTGCATTTCCCCCATGCCGCCGTTGTTATTTCCCAAATGTTTCTTAGTAGTATAGCTCTTGCATCCAATGCTCTTATTGTGTTTCTTTAATTTCAGCTATGAACGTGATGTGATGGGTTTTTCCAAATTAATTCTAATTCTCTTCTGAAAATCTTTTGAAGATCAGAAGTGCCAGATTAAGTAGTTAATCTATGATATGAGTTATGAACGTTCTTTTTTGTTCATGGATGGATGATTATAAGTTGATCTTACTTCCTACGTGCTTTCCAGAACTTCTGATGCGAAATTTCTTTCAATTGACAGATATCTGGTGTTTGAAAGAAGATGCCAGATTCAACCGAAGTGTTAGAAAGAAGAGATGTTAATGGGATTGGAGTAGGGGATGACAGTATATATGTAAGATTGATTACACCTAATGAACCAAGGACGCCTGAACCAGATAATTTAGAATCTCGAACACAGGAAAGAAAGAAGTCTCTCGCATGGTGGATGAAGGCCATATTATTGTGTTTGTTCACAGCAATTCTTCTTCTTATATTTGGGAAATGGGGACTACCCTTTCTTTTAAAGAAGGTATATCAAACCATGTTATTAGTTTACACTCCTATTTTTGCCTAATCACTGGAAGGATACATTGGAAACTTCTCTGGTTATCTTATAGGCTGTATCAAGATTTATTAAAACACTCAGGCTTTACAGAAAATAAGATGCAAAATGACAATGGGGAGGTGGGAAAATCTTAAAAGATACCATTTTAGGGAATCAGTGTTAGAAAACCTTTATCCGATTTGCCTATGCAGGGTGCGTCTTTAAGGATGACATATGAAGGTCATGTTAGCAGTGTTTATTGATGATAATGTTCTGCCTTTATGCACGTTTCTACAGTTTTCACCTGTGTAAAGATATTAATGGTCAATAGTGATTCAGAATTTAATACTTGTAACCAAATAGATTGAAGGAACCAGAGGCTCGTGGAAGAAAAGGTTACATGGTCAAAAGTCTGCTTACAGGACAGCTGCCTTTTTGAAAAGTTATTATGGAAACCTTTGCTGTCCATTTTCTTACCCCAACTCCCTCCATTGTCTTTACCTTTGATATAGAGTGAAGGGTTAAGGTAAAGCGCGTAATATTATTATGCAGAAATTAAAAAAAGAAGACGAGGTCCTCCTTGGGAAATAATCTCCCGCCCAAGCTAAAAGCCGACAAATAATAATAATTCTCTTGTGCCTTGTACAAAAGGCCGAGAGCTCACTTAAATGGAATACTAACCCTAGCAAATAAAACCCTGACGGGCACCATAATTATGTATTTTTCTGTACTTTGAAGGTACAATGTGTGAGCCAGCCGATGAGTTGCATTAGCAGGGAATGCATTTCTGGAATCAGAATGTCATAAAACGTTCTAAAACAGTTGATAAAAACTCTCAAGACTATGGGACATTTTGATTCTTCCAATACTATTTATCTTGTAAAGTATTCGGTCTCATGTATAACTTCTGTTATATGCGTCCAAAATTATATTACATGAGCTGCTTAATCTAAGCCATCTGACATATTAGTTTAATGTACGTTCTGGTAGGTTCTTTTTCCAATCTTGCGATTAGAAGCCACGGCATTTGGTCCTCCAGTGCTTGCTCTTGTGCTTGTTGCTTCATTGGCTTTGTTCCCTTTGGTTCTGATTCCTTCTGGCCCCTCAATGTGGCTAGCTGGTATGATTTTCGGTTACGGCCTGGGATTTGTTATAATCATGATTGGAACAACCATTGGAATGATCCTGCCATACTTAGTTGGTTTCCTCTTTCGTGATCGTATTCATGTAAGAAAATGCGAAACTTATGGTGATGCTTTTCAGAGTTAGTGTATTTGGATTTAGCATGTTTGCATTTCTCAACTTTTCTCTTCGTTTCACATTCTTTGATTTTGTATGTGTATTCTTATTTTTCTTAATGCATTAACAGCAATGGCTGAAGAGATGGCCTCAAAAGGCTGCTGTCATCAGATTGGCTGGGGAAGGAAGTTGGTTCCATCAGTTTAAAGTTGTTGCACTGTTTCGGAATTCTCCATTTCCATACCCGATCTTCAATTATGCAATTGTTGTAACAAGTGTGAGATTCTGGCCTTATTTAGGTGGATCAGTAGTAGGGATGATACCAGAAGCCTTCATTTACATCTACAGGTCCTCTTTCTCTCTCCCTCTGGGGTCCCTCTCTCTCCCTCTCTCTCTCTCTCTCTCTCTCCCTGGT